CACAGGCGAAACTGAAGGTCCCCTGTAGATCGTATGAAAGTATCTGTGAAGGCATTAGGCTCGTCTCTTTGTTCATTTCGGTTAATGCCATAATAAGAAGCTGCTGTTTGAAATATTTTCAAGTCTCACTACACGCAAAATATAGACTTCTTCTTCCTCGGCTACCATTCTTTCTTGTAAACAGTCTGGCTTTCAACTGGTACACAATAAAGAGACGTGCTGCTGGCGGTGTCGCATGCGTTAGCGATGTGATACCATTGCGCACGAAATGTTCTACTGGTGGTATGAAGGCAGAAGTGATCCATTTCGAATTCCGGAGGTGAAGGATTCATTTTTAATCTATTACTTTTCCACCTATCCCTTGAGCAAGGAATTTACCAGATATTGCTTCAGACCGAGGTCGTTAAATCGATCGAATGTCAGAATCAGAACCGAGGTTCCTGTCTGAACCTCGATTACGGTCATTCACTTTGTTTCCTTCCAAGGCTGAAAATCGAGTAACTGTCTGTGAGGTGGAAGCTGGAGAATACATACTTATTAGCCACACAGCTGCTGTCGACTCTGACTTCAAAATATGACACTCCTTGTTGATGGAATGGAAATGTAGATCAGCGCTGATCCACATGCGCTCCATCATTAACTTCATGAAACGAATTGCGTAGAAATTGCGCCATCTAAAAGTGTAAGAACGACCGACATTTCAACGGTCACAAACTATTCTTTACTTTATTTGGTTTCAGTAATGTGCAGTGACTTCAGCATTATAAATTTCATAAATTTCACCATTTAAAATAACAAGTCAGCCAAGATTATTAAAATATGGAAAGGCATGGCCTTCTGCTATGTCTCAGTTTGACCGTTGTGCACTGATGTCTAGGTTCTGAATATCAACAGTTGATATCCTATGCGATGATTGTTTGATTTCTTTCACAATCCCTATTCCTTGTTAGCCAGGATCAGCTTCATCGATATCTGAAGGAGGTTCTGACTAGCGCTCCTATACTCAGGTGTATCTGAGAGAACATTTGTTTGTCTTTCGCTCTGATTCAGTAGGATTCTAAGTGATAGCCCTCTGAGGCCTAACCTGCTCGAAGGTTTTATCATTGAACTCAGGCACAACTACCTCTTTCTCCGGTTGTTTTATGACTGCATCATTGAGCATGTTCTAATCTCACAGACGATCAACTGATTGCAAATGGCAGTTCACCGTAAACGAGGAATAACATGCAAACGTCTGTATTTCGCTGATTAAGTTGTACTGGCTTTTAGCATCGCTTCCGCGGTCCGAGAGCCATGCGATTGCCAGCCAACTCTTTGAGGATCTGATGTACGACTATAACAAGATTTCGAGGCCGGTGAAAAACTTCAGCGAAGTTCTCCTAATAAAGTTTGGCGCCTCTTTGATACGCATAATCGACATCGTGAGTGTCAACAGTGAATTGTGACTCTTTTTTTTCCTCATGTTATATTTATTTAGGACGAGAAGAATCAGGTTTTCACGACCAACCTCTGGCTTGACATGGTTTCTTTTTATAATACTTTCATGACTCTTGCCGGTAGATTATGATTGTTTTTAGGAGTGGATAGACAGCAAACTACACTGGGATCCAGAAGTCTACGGTGGACTTAAAAAGCTACATATTCCGGCAGATCTTTTATGGACACCTGACATTTTGCTGTACAACAAGTATAATCAAACATTTGAATTCTGCCTTGTAAATAGCATATGCCAATTAGGAAGTAAAATAGCACTGTGTGCTCTCTAAATGTTGTTCCACAAAAGCTACAGATTTCAAAGAATTTTGACTAGTAGCAAACCCATTGGGTGGTGTAAGCTAAACGTTGTGTGTAAAATAATTTTTCTCGTTCTGCCATCTTTTCATACATGTGTTAAGATGTGATCTCATTCAAGCCATAGCCTGAAGTTCGTGACGTCAATTCGTTTGATTATGACGAATGTTCTTGCCATTTGAAGTTGAAAGACAAAGGTAGTGCAATAAACAGTGACAGCCATTTACAGTCAACCCCGGAATTATGTAAATTTGCACTTACATAAACTGTTCTAAAAATACCATGATAAGTATTTCGAACCGAATGTTATACATAACGTGCCTGCGTTACTCGTGCGTCATCAAACACAGCTCTTTGCAAGACGATGGTAGGCATGCATTTTCCCCAGTTTCGTTTTGTTTACCATTGAAGAGAGATATGCTATAAATTTGTATTCGCTCACTTTAACAATTTTGGTATTTGTCTGTGCTGCAGTGGAGTAATGGAGTACAACTTGACTGGAAAAATGAACACAAGGAAACAGTTAATCTGTGCGTAAGCGAACAAAATTGATCTGGAGATTAAAATAAAAGTTATAAAAACGCGTGATGGCCGACTAAGCCCAACGGCTATAAGATGTTACTTTGGTCTCGCGCAATCACCACAGCGTACAGATGTGGAAGACGTTACCGTATAAAGAAGCATGAATGTAATATCGATGAATTGATTGACTCACATGAAGGAGGCACTGTCAAATTAAGAACTTACCGAATTGGAAGCAGCGAAAGTTGCTGAAATTGAGGCTTCTGATTTAGGAAAGGAGTCAAAGCACTTCGTGACGAGAAAGATGACGAACGCCTTGAGGTGAGATTTCAGGAAGAATCTCAAGATTAGAGAAAACGAATTCCAATGTCCCATGATTCTTTAAAATCTAAGGAAAAACAGCATGTTTTCAAGTGATCCATGAAGAGGAAAGAAGCCACTGTTCACTCATCTGTTGATAATTTCATTGAGTCGAACGTTCTGAAGCAAACATATTTATTTTCTCACATCATATGTGCCATATAACATTGCTTTGCATTAATAATTGCATATTCAAGTCTAACTGTGTGCGCATCCGATGAGTGAAACTAGCAAAAATAGCCATTGTAGCATGTTAGTGTAGTACTACAAGCAGGTATCGTAATCACATGAGCATTAGGTTGTGATTAACGGGTGGAGTAGGCCAAATTGCGTTATCTAAATTCGAGCTATGTAAGGGTCTGCGGAACGTAACTCTTATATCAAGGTGTTACATGCTGGGTCTGTATGTATTCGCTTTTTCTCTTGCGTGATTTTAAATCACTCGAAACCGCATTTAATTCGTTCTTTTCTATTTTTAGACTAGATACTTAGAGTTTTGTGTTGAACAAATTACATTCTGATTTGATGAGGAGACGTTTCCCAAGACTCATTTACAACTGGACCTTTCTGGTACTGAACTTACCCCTGAGGGAACATTAAATGCCGTTCTTCTTCGCAGAGGCTCAAAGCCTAGCGAACCTGGTGGAAGCTCTTGAACTGTGGAGGCGAACGCTTGGTCGCCTGAATGCATCTGGTGTTCAAGAGCATACAGCAAGGGGTACGATATCTGAAGACTGGAAGAAAACATTATCATGCAAAGATTCAAACGTATGAGTTACTTGACTGTTCCAATTATCTACGGGTAACCTTTGCTGCCTATAAGAGAAGTTCTTCGCACGGCCGGTCTTCAGCAGACTGCAGGTCGAATCAGACGGGTTTCAGTAATGGACAGCTCCGTACGACTTTACCTTGTGCTGCTGCAAAAATCAGCAATGCCAGAAGTTCCAGTTCCCTTAGCGTTCGTTAATCTTTAACTGTAATGCAGCTTTCGACTCAGCCCGCCGAAGCATTATATGGCAGATCATCCCCATTTGTTGGTCAGTCAGATTGAGCGATGCGGTCTTGCATTCGATGTCCTACCAGCGCTTAGTTAGCATGGAGCCGTGATCGATTAAATGGTCCCCGTACGCAATTAAAGCAAGGGGGCGCGTTTTCATCAAGTAAATCAGTGGTTGAGATGAAATACTTACGATGGAATTGAAAACTAGTCATCTAGTAGTAGCTACCTTAAAACATACGGTTTATGTTGCGGCGCATTGTGTGTGCGTAACAGTTTTACTTCAGTCTTTTCGCAGCCCTTTTCTACGAAATGCCGCATGACTCAAATCGCTTCACGTCATAAGTTCCACTTGGCTTTTCAGCGCAGCTGGTGACCCGGAAATAACGATATTCAACGATGCGGTGGTGTACTACGACGGACGAGTGGTATGGAAACCGCCCGCCATCTACAAGTCATTCTGCCTCGTAGGAAATGAACGTGCCACTTGTCAATCACTAAACCGCTTATAATGTGTGTTTCAAGATCGACGTCACTTGGTTTCCTTACGATTCTCAGGCTTGCGTCATGAAGTTCGGCATGTGGTCTTACGGTGGTATGTTCGTAGATATGCGCCAGCTTCCGGAGAACATGATCAAGGAGGTGGTCAAAGACGACAACGTGGTAGAATTTTTGGAAACAGGAATGGACCTGTCCTACTTTTACAGGTCAGGTGACGATGCTGAACGATGAATTTGCCGATGTAACCTCTGCATATTGTAACTGCGATGGTTTAGAAGCGCGGAATGGGACCTGCTTCGTCTGACCAGCGAAAGACATGCGCAGATTTACACCAGTTGCTGCGGGCCGTCGAAGTACGTCGACATCACATATTACTTTAGCCTGCGAAGAAAGACCTTGTTCTACACGGTTAACCTGATCATTCCGTGTTTCCTCATCTCCTTTCTCACCACGCTTGTATTCTACAACTCTGACCACAAGATCACCTTCTCTATCGGCATTCTCGTAACGTTAACCGTGTTCTTCTTGGTAAGTGTTCATCTTATAACGTTACTGTAAGATTTCCTAAATTTTAAGCACTTTTTATAGGTTCTGATCGAAATTATACCTCCCACTAGCCTCGTGATTCCTATGTTCGGAAAGTATCTGCTGCTAACCATTATTCTGGTCACTCTCAGTATAAGCATCAGCGTCGTTACCGTCAATATTCATTTTCGGCGGGGATCGACGAACAAAATTCCGAAATGGGTACGAAGAGTGTTCATTGAATTCCTACCAAGGTAATATTAGATAGATCGACTTTTCGTTTTCCAAAATTAGTGAAAACGACTGTAACTGATATCATTGCATCCAATTGGACTACAAGGTTGTCTCTGTTCTCTAATCGTCCTGTTACCCATGACTAGCAAACGTCCGATAAAACTGAAGTGATTCTGAACTCAGAGTGGAGCAATGTGATAAGACGACCTCAGTAAATGACCTCCGTATCAATGGCAGTCTTAAAAATTTCGGAGCCTTTTCACCCTGAGAAACAAAGTGGACTGAGATCTACCTGATGTAGCCATCTGGATGACTTTAAGCACTGAATGATTCAAAATGACTTATTGGTATTTAGACCTGCTGGAACCATCAACTTTAGGGTCATAAAACAAAGACAACAGTAGGGGTATCATACCACCAGCTTGCTTTACTCGAAAATTCAAATGCGTTAGTTAGCTAGTGATACAGCTATGATAACATTTATTGACTATGGCATGAGCGTAGATTTCCAAAATGTTAAGCTGTTTCTTATTGATGACTCAACCGAACCTAACTCAGCTGTGCTCTTCTCTCTTCACTGTTTTCTGGCACAATGAGTCAAAGTATTCAAAGGTACCCGCTAAACGAAAAGGACACAGATCGTTTAGGGTATGTTCATAATTCCGTTCACGAATGACTGATGAATATGTAGCGATTTGCCTCTAAATTGTCATCGCCTTCATAGCTTCCTTGTCCTGCTTCGAAAACAATCCCAAAATCTTGGGCAATTTCTCCCAGACCACAGAGCAGTTATTCATAGCAATACCAGCTCCTGTTTCTGTAGCTAATCCTGTAGCAAAACAAGAAGCCATATAGCTGCAACAGTTTCGTGCATTGGTCCAGATGCTAAATAGAAATCTCCATAACTAACTGCCATCTGGCTTTTTGGATTTGCTCGACAGTGGTGCAGGTGATATTCTGCACTGGCAGTCATTCTTCGTCTATGCGATTCCCATAGCATGTCTATCTCATTACACGGGTTGAAAATGTGTATGTGTATATAACGTTGTAATGACATATATTTCCAATTTTCAAAATATTATTCCACTCAACTCATTTGAATGCGCTTATGCGATGTAGTGCATAATGCTGATAGGAATAAAAGGGATGGTAATCGTAGAAGTTCTCACGCTTTAATTCCTGACGAATTACCAAATTCGTTAACCATCTAATCTACATCCTGAATGCGTAAGACTGCAGTATAAACGTAGTAACGCAAATAGACTACGATTTTTACGTAATATTATCATTATTGCACTTCAGGATTTTTTTATTTTTTCCTCACTTTTGTGAAGGAGCAAAAAAGCAGTCACTATTTTAAAAAAGATACCTGAATTGCACTCCAATTGACCCTACTTGACTCCTTCTGCCTCGATGCAAACATTCGTTGGATATATGTGAACCAAATTAATTAACGGATGAAGATTGACCAAACAATTCGACGCGTGATTCTTTGTGAACAGCCGTTCAAAAAAAACGTCTTAGATAGCTGGATGTCAGACTTTTACATTTTCATCAATAAGCGTCATTTATGACCCCTTTTGAACCTCTGGTTCAGCGTTAGTATCAGTCTCAGTCCCTCTGTCATCGGCAAGGAGTGTTTTCTGTTCTCTATTATTCGATCAATTGTACATTCATAATTTGTGACCACCAGCGCGCAGTGTCTTCTGGTTCCTTCTCGTTTATCAACCTTGGAAAGGAAGAATCCAAGGGACTTGACCGAAGCTCGAAACGAAGACCTCTCAGCTCCCATTCAGATGACCTACCGACAAACAACCCCAGCCTATCAGCAGTCCTTATCTCTGAACACTACCTGGCAGTTGTTTGAATAATTTTTATTATGATCCAGTTTCTCATTGCTCTAAATTACTTCTAATTTTCATCTTACGTCGACAAAGCCTCTTATTTCGCATACGAGCCTGTGAACATCGTCATAAGTTCATGGGCAGATAAGCTGCTAAAACATTTCATCACGTTTTTTCTGGGGGTGCTCTATGAAATCCACCCGCGGCGTACCATTCGTCAGGTGGAGAATGAAGAATGACTAAAACAATCGCATGAGAGAGCGTAGAACCACGCAAAGTATATTTTATGGCTTATGTGGTAGCCATTAAAGTCATTCCTGAGTTAAAATCGGTTTGATAACGAGGTTTGAGTGATTTCAGTAGACTGCTGTTTGTTTGTACTAATGATATCTTGATACGGTCCATCGGCTTTGTGATGTTCACTCTTGCTCTCTTCTACAGTAATGAGGAAAAAGTGATTTGCGATGCCGACATTCGTCATCATTCATATCAAGAGTACACACATCATTCTATCCTGTTGATCTTACCTGACATGAAGGATTTATCACAGTTTTTATTGTACTGTCATCTCCGTTAGATTTAGCTTCTCCTGTGATGAACAATGTTCCTTCAGGGTTACTGCAATGAGTAAGTTCAACATTCTTCAAAATACTCTAACAATTCCTTGCCCTTTCAGGGCAGAATAGTTAGAGTTTCAAAACACATGCAAGTATTGATGTTTCCAATTTCTATCACAATCTGCTCGTTCATCGATCGATTGAAAATTTCAGAATTCAACGTCGTTGTTTCCTAGTGAAATCTTCAAAGATCATCGAAGACTTCAGAAATGAAACACAAAATGCCAAACACCCATTAATTGTCACCTCGCCGTTCCATTTTTGCGCTATTACAGCAGCTTCTGCAGATTTTACAATGGATCTGGTCTTTCATTAATCGAGTAAGCTCCATCGGCTAAATTTCAACTAGCAGTATATAACATTACAATGTTTAAGTTCGATACGTCAGAACATCCTGACCCTTCATCAGTCATTCTAACAGCTTGCTAAGAGAGTTTGTCTTTCAAGGATATATCAACTCTAGAATAATGATCTATCGCTCTGGAAAAGAAGCGACTTTTACCTAACGGGATTTCGAATTGCTGTGTTCTAAAGTTTGTTTGACCTCATCTAGATAGAACACCCTTAATGATATTACATTGCTGTGTATATCCAATATTTTACCCAATAAAAAACATGGCAATCGCACTGCAACCGGATCGAGGCTGCCAGAGTAAGATGGACAGGTGTTAATATTTTATTAACCATGAATTAAACGTCCAACAGCACATATCGCTAATTTCTGCACGTCTATAAGAGGGTTGGTCGCATCGTTTCCCCTCATCATTCTGATGGATTAATCTGCCTTGACCAGCCTTTCATAAGTGCTGCTGAAAAACACATCCTATTATTCTGTTCCTATTATCCTATTATTATCCTATTCAAAATACTTATATGATCATTCATCAATACGTATATACAAATTGAATTAAATCTTTGCGGTATCGGGCAGTAACTTTCATCATCTTAAATTTTACCTCAAAACACGAGTTTTTGTTCTACGTTTGGAGGCTGGTGCATTCGCTGTCCTACCATATTTCCTGAAACCTCTATAGACTTTGTAAATCCTACAGCGATCACTGAGGGCGTCAGCACACAGTCCTTTGTAATGATTTATAAGTCTTGGCTCCACAACAGACAGTATGAGATTTGTACTTTGCATCATCCTATAAACCAAATACCCAACTGCTCTCGCATCCATAATGGTGCTATACAATTGTTTTTGTAGAGCGGTGTCTCTACGATTCTGCTGCGTCCTATTTTGTTTCCTCTTGCTACCCGAAACAAAACATCAATTTCTGCAACTGTTATTCAGAACGACGATATTCAGAAGCAGTGCAGTTTGACCATGGGCATTGTCTGGTGAATAAGACGTATTAGACCTTTTTTATAAACAATTCATACATAAAATCGCCTGCGATACTGCGTCTGGTGGTTTCTGCCTGATTTCACTCACGTTTAACTGTTTGTTACCATAAACAATTCAATGGCGTGCTAATGTCTCGAGCTGTTAAAAATTCTCACCATTGCTTTACATGTTTTGATATCATAGTCATTTTGTTCTAGGTGGCTCTGGATCGATTATCCGGAAGGAATGCTGCCAACAAGCTGCGCAGGTTCTCAATCTCCTGACATTCAAAACCTGGATGACGAGCTGTTAGAACAGTCAGGGAACGAAAGCCCATTCTTCCCCAGAAAAAACGAATCTGCCATGGAACGCCAGCTTCGACTTAAACGCCAACTCATCATCCGGCTGTTGAGACATGTGCACTTCATCGCCAGGCACTTCAGAGAAATGGAACAAGACGACAAGGTAGATGGCAATGAAGCTTTACAACACCATTCCCTGTTCAGTACCCTTGCTTGGTGAATCTAGGAAGCTTCGGAATGGGTCTTCATCGCTATGGTCATCGACAGACTGTTTTTGGTGATCTTCAGCCTCTGCAACATCGGCACACTGTTCGTCATACTGCAGGCTCCGACACTGTACGACAAACGAGGACCTTTGGCCATTCCGGAAGCGACGCGCCCTTTGGGACAAGACACGCTCGGACCTGCTTACGAATGAATCACACGCGCATCGTATTGGATCGTTTTGATCACGTGACCGTTTCTATTACCTTCAACTGTGCTACCGTTATTTGACGCCGGTGCTGCCCGCGAACATGCTAATAATACGGTGCTCAGATTGGCAACGTATGTAGGTCACGTAAAATTGAGTCGCTGTGAATGAATTTTCTTCATATTGAATATCTGACCCAAGCAGGGTCTGAATACACTGTTTGCTTTTGTCTTATTTTACAACTATTGTGATTGATTATTTACATGAAAAATTATAAAATTTATATGGAAAAAAATT